AACTGCTGGTGTTGGTACCACAGTCTTCTCATCTTCTGTAGCTGCAAATGTTGTTCAGATGGCAAATGAGAAAATGAAGACAGAGCGTGAGGAAACACAGACTGTTGGTGGCTGGGAGAGTCTCTTGAAAAAGAGAAAAGGGCTAGATGATAATGGTAATGGTTATGGTGGAACTGGCATGGGAAGCTTATTCGGATTAAGAAAGGGTGGTCTTGGTACCAGAGAGTTGACGCCACTTGAACTTAGGAACATGCTGATGGCGAAGGCTCGGATTGAGATTTCTACTAAGTTAAAAGAATGGAGCGCAGAGACTATAACCAAGGCTGTAGACAGAAAAAAAGAAAAAGAGAAAAGTTTTGTAAAAGGCGACACCCGTGAACTGAATGGGAGTGGAGTGTCTCGTTCTATGGAAAGAGACCAATCCAAGAAGTGTTTTGCTAGCACTTCTGCTGATGATGTGGATAAAAAGGGCGTCGCACTTATGTCAATTAATGTACCTGATCCTGATTTTCATGATTTTGACCAGGACCGGACAGAAAGGTCTTTTGAAGATAACCAAGTTTGGGCTGCGTATGATGATGATGATGGCATGCCTCGTTTTTATGCTATGATTCATAAGGTGATATCCTTTAAGCCATTTAAGATGCAGATAAGTTGGCTTAACTCAAAAAACACCAGTGAATTTGGTACAACAGACTGGGTAGGTTCTGGTTTCTCTAAAACTTGTGGGTTTTTGAGGGTTGGCAAACATGAATTCACCGAGTCTCTAAATTCATTTTCCCACAAAGTTAAGTGGGAAAAAGGTCCACGTGGGACTGTTGGCATATATCCCAAGAAGGGGGATGTGTGGGCTGTCTACAGAAACTGGTCCCCTGACTGGAATGAGCATACTCCAGATGAAGTGATACATAAGTATGAGATGGTGGAAGTGCTTGCTGACTATGATGAGGATCAAGGTGTGTATGTTGCTTCTCTTATCAAGGTCGCTGGTTTCAGGACTGTCTTTTGTCCAAATACAGACCCCGAGAAAGTAAGGAGAATACCAAAAGAGGAGATGTTTCAATTCTCTCATCAAGTCCCACACTATTTGCTCACAGGTCAAGAAGCTCAAAATGCTCCAAAGGGCTGCCTGGAACTGGACCCAGCAGCTTCCCCTTTGGAACTTCTTCAGGCAATTACAGAAGCTAATGATGGGAAAGCTGGAAAAGAGATGTCACAGAGTGTCTCAGAAATTGGGGTAGACGAGATTGTGACTAATACCACAGAGGCCAAGGAAGAACAGATGGTAGAGAATGGTGTATAAACCAAGGAAGGAGAGATGGTAGGCACCATGAAGTAGCCGAGGAAGCTGCCGTGGTAGATAATGCCGAAAAATGCTGAAGCAGAACAAGAAGTTTGCTGGAGATACAGTGTGAGTTTGGTTTTTAGTTATATGGTTTAGAATTAAAAGAGGAGGACGTTTTGGTGACAATGATAGAACTTATGCATTGGCTTTCATGAAGTCAAGTCTAACCGCAGTTTTGTCTGCAAATTGAATACTAGCTTATAGGATCGAAATACATGATTCTTGTTTAATTTTTATTGGTCAAATGTGAATGCTCACTTACCTATTGGATTTGCCTCTTAAGAATAGGGTTTTCTACTTATCTTCCTGCTCATCGTAAATAGTTTATACTCAAGGGACCATTCGTTGGTTGCTTTATGATCAATCAAGTATACTAATGAGCAACCTATCTTTTTCTTGTACCTAACATTGATTTGTTCAATTGATTTACCTATTCTAAGATGAATTATGTTGTATCCTCGGCTTGTCTATATCCATCTCAGGGTAGTTGTGTTCTTGCTATTATATGGTTGTAGAGCTCAGGAGTGTTTTCAAGGAGTTGTTTTTTGTGGAAGAAACAAAGGTTGGGATAATGGTGACCTTTTTGGATATGCACTGGCCCCTAGTTTTTCTGCTTTGTTCTGTTTGCCCGCAGAATACATCAGATGCAAAATTCTGGCATGGAACTAGCACCTAATCTGACTTTGGTTAACAAAACTTGAACCGACTTAAAAAAAACTACGTGAAAATCTGGGAATTGATTCTGAATTCTGTTCTTCTGTTGTCTCATGTTTTTAGTGTAGTGGAAAAATAATCCAATTTGCAGGTAAGGATTGGTGGTGCTGGTGGTAAATTCCATTGTTTGTTTTTTATCCAATTTAACGGGTATTTACATCAAACCAAACCCAACTGTAGATGGGCTCACTGGATGCAACTAATTTAACCTTGTTTATGGATTTGGACGGGTTGAAACGGGTTAAATTGAACGGATTTATGATTTCTGACTGTGTTTTGCCATCTCTAAATGCATAGCATACCCAATGTGCAACAAAGTTAGATGATGTACCTAGCCATGAAAATGAAATAGGGAACTAAGCTGCAAGGCTCCTGATATCCTTAATTCCATGTTATCACTATTGTCATAGTTATAACAGATTCAAGTACTTAGGGCATGTCTGATTAGACGAATTGTAGCATAAGATTGAGATTATTAATTCATAAATTTGTATTTTATTGTTTGGTTGTAATTTTTGTTATTCATATTAGATTTTGATAGACATTTTATCTAACAAAATTTGCGAATTTTTTAATCCTATAACTAATAATACAAAACAAACATATGATTTGGATTATATATTTTTATATTCATTGTAAAACAAACGTGGATAAAAAGAATTATTTATTTTAGGGTAAATTACAAACACACCTCTTGAGGTTTACTTAAATTACAAATTATCTCCTATGGTTTTAAAAATTACATTATGTCCCTTAAGATTTTTAATTTCATAACAAATAGGTTCTTTTATTAATAAATCATCAAGTTAATTAACAGCTTTTAATAATGTTAAAATTTTATTTCAATTAATAATTCAAATAATTTTATTATTGTATAGATAAACAGTTAGGAATATCACTTTTTCAATTAATTTTGTTAAATAAAAAATTCTAATAAGAAAATATTTATAATTTTTCAAACCACAAGAAACAATTCATATTTTAAACAAATCTTAAAGAGTGTATTTGTAATTTATCCTTTTTTTTTCAATATCCCTATCGTCAGCCTCTATATTTTAATGTACTCTTTTAATCACATAATCACACTTCAAAATTTTTCTTATTTCCAAATTTTTATTCAAATGACATTGGGAATAAGAACATCTCTTTTACCTTAACATCTAAGTTAATTAGAGGCCAAAATTTTTTTCTAACAGAAAATCAATTTAGGTGGTGAAAGGAAATTATAATTAACAGCTGATTTTAGCAATTTCCAAGTGTGGAAACATCCAATAAAGACATTCAACGGTCGCGTTTTGAACATTTGAGCAAATATAGACTGTACAAAGAACAGTTGGTTATTTGGGTAACACAATACCAACTATTGAATTCGAATTTGAAGAAATGTTATTTTAGTAAATTTTTAATTTTTTAACTAAAATATGAGATAAAAAAAATTAATATGTTTAGAATAATTTTTTAAATTTTTACGAAAAAATGTACAAAAAAAAATATTGAGGAAAAAAATATATTTAACTTTTTGAAATAATTTTTTAACTTTTAAATTAAAATATTAAATCGTCAAACGAGGTACTCTCTCTTTCTTCAATAGTTAGGTGGTTGTAATACCAAATTTGCGTGAGCTGGAAACATTTGGAATTGACTTTGATTCAAACAAAGAGTGAAGAGCAATGTTTGTTAGAGAGAGAGAGGTCTACTTCTTCATTCAACATGACTTGAAACACCACATTTCTTTTCAAACCATGACAAAAATATTAATTGGTAAAACTTGTTTATAAAATTATATATATAATTTTTAAAGACATATGAATTTGGATCCTCTCCATTGCATTTAATAAAATAAAAATGTCTATTTTATAAACAATAATTGTGCAAGAACTACAGCAATACGCGCGCGCACACGCGCACACATATATACATATATTTTTTTTTTCTTATTATGGGACTATCTTGTATTGAAGTAGTGCCTTTTAGTGTTAGACTTGCAAATATATATTTCTTATATAATTAATCGTTCAAATTAATATAATTCTCCTGATATTAACACAAAAACAACTTTGTATGTATTAGAATGGAGATCTCTGTTCTAACCATTTAATAGAGATAATTTAAGTCCACAAATTCAAACTAAGAACTCATCAATGTGGTTTATTATTTCAAATATATAATTGCATCATGTTTTAATAGTGAAAATTTAAATGCCTATTTCATAATCAATATTTGTGCAAGAACTACAGTAACACACACACACATATATATATATATATATATATATTCTTATTATTGAAAGTTTCAATTTTTCAAAGACCTATAATATAATATTTCATTTTGATAGTTAACTTGAGGCCTCACAGAATCTCGGGCCGTTGGCCGTTACTGTGCATAATTTAGAGCTATCCACCAGAGGGTGATTCCATTTACACCTAAATAATAATAATTCAATAGGCCTAATTAAAATTTTAAAATTTTAATTTCTATTATATCTTAATATAAATTTACTAATAAGAATAATACACATTAAATCTTAAAATAATTTTTTTTTTCCTCATCATACACTCAAACCACTTATTCATATTTAACTCTCTTCATCTTCTTCTGCAAGTTTCAATTATTTTTTACTCATCTTCTTCCTCACTTAAAAACTAAAATTCACCCTACCAACCCTCATTATTATCATCAACATTGTGGGGAAATATTTTCTGAGTACCAACACGTGGCCAAGGTGACGCCGACGTGTCAGCCAAGGTGCCACGTGTCCTGGTCGTGACGCCAAGGTGATCTCAGCTAGGCCGAGGTTATCTCCGAAGATATCGGAGTCCTGGATAAGCGGATAAAGGACAAAAGTTCTAGAATGAGGACGGACCTCTGCCTGGATAAGGATAAAATTCTTAGGGAGTTTATCTTTATCTATTGGAGAGTCCAAGATAAGCACTGAACTGAAGTCCATTGAAGCGAGGCTTCTATTAGGACTAGGTTTGTATTGGCTATAAAAGAGAGGCACCTCCATGGGTCTAAGGTACGCATTTTATATTCTGAATAGTGAGTTAAGCACTTGATTTATTTTTGAGAGATAACTGACTTGATCGTCGGAGTGCCCCTGGGTGGACGAACCACCACCGGAATCTCTTCTTTCTGTTGCAGGTCAATCAGGCGCCATCTATTCTGCCAGTGCTCTCCAGTTGAATACTGAGTTGGCAGTGTGGTCAGAAATTCACTCACACAATTTGACGCTGTCTGTGGAAAAGAAATAAGAATAGATGGCCAGCGACAGACAGAAGGATAAGGTTGGGGACGAAATCCCTGCTGGAAACGGTAAACACGTTGACCCTAACATGGAGGAAGATGGTTGCAACGAGGAGACTCAGGACCAGAATCACGGCAGGAAAGACATCGGCCAGAAGGGCGACGTATCGAAAAAATTGGATCGAAACGGGTATTACAATGAGGACAACCTCAAGGTATGGAAAGATAAATGCCTGCGGAGGGACGAAGATGTAAAAGAGATGGTGAACAAATTGGCAGACCCGCAATCGGTCGTCAATTTCATGATGTAAAACAACGTCATGCAGCCACCGTTCCCACTACAGGACACGCCAATTCCAACGACCAATGTCCAGAAGGGAGGGCAGAAAACCATCCTTGTAGCCCCCCAGCACACTAGGAGCGAAAAACACTCTTGTAGACACCCCATTTTTGACCGTCCTCAAGACTTCGACGTCATCGTTTGAATACTGGATGATCATCCATGTTCGTGTTTATCTGGAGTTCTCGGAGGTTTCGGTTACGCGCCTTGCCTCAAGACCTCTCGACTTGTTTGTTTTGTACTTGGTTGTGCACCAAACATTTGTGTTTTTACTTCTGAGGGCAGGGAATGGCTTGTTGGCCATCCCCACACCTCACCGGCCTTGGCTTGAGGCCACCGGCCTTGTTTTCTTGCTACCGGCCAAAGATTTTGGTCGGTCGGCAATGTTTTTGGTTGGCCGGCCATTTTTGTTGGTCAATCGGCCATATTTTTTGGCCGACCCATTTCCATCTGCTTTTGGCAGATATTTTATGCCAGCTGTTAGCTGGCATCCACATTACACCCCCTCCATACACGTGTATGGAGGGATTTGCTCCTTGCTTGGCTTCTCTTGGAAACCTTAGAATTTGAGCCTCTATAAAGAGGGAGCCCCTCCTCCCTCCTCCAGGGTTCAAAAAAATTAGGTTAGAGAGTTTAGATATAGTTTTGTATCTATACTCCCTTGTTTGATTATATTTTGTGTCCTAAAGTGAGTTTTCTCTTACTTTTGCACTAGAGCACCTAGCATTACACCATCCTTGGGTTGTTGAGGCCTTAGAAGGTTGTTATTAGGGTTCTTAGGCTGGTTTTGATCCAAGGAAGGTGCTGGAGTGGCGTTCTTGAAGAAGGTCTATAAAGGCGAGCATCCTTACTTTAGTTACCCCTTTCTTGCTTAGGCTTTTAGCCATTCTTGCTTATTGTTTTAAGCTTCGACTATAACTGATAAAAGTTCTGATTTTATGTGCTTTAGAACTTTGTTTAAGGTCACTTTGAGGTTTGGGGTTGTCTCCCCCCTCCAAGGCCTTGTTAGGCTTTGTTTTAGGCCATACCTTTTGGCCATTGTTTTGGTCTTTGCATGAATTCTCTACCACTGAAATCCAGAGGATTTTCAGTGGTGGAGAGGTGGTTTTGAGGTCCTAAAAAGGAGAGGGCCATCCCCTCTCCTTGTTGTCTTTAATG